CAGCCTGTGTTATGTTAAACTCAATATATATTTTAATCTCAAACAACCAACACAAAAAAAAATTAAACTCCTAATTTTCTTTTACAAATAACGAAACACCAACAATTTTTTCAAACATATGATTGTATTTTGAATTCTATGAAATTCAAAATATTTGCAGCAAAACAACCACTAATGCTAAGTGATACTTTATAGTCATCCCTATTTCGATACAAAATAAGGAAAGATAAGAAAACGAAGGGTGCAAAACAAAAGGTTAATTCAGATTAAAAGTAAGTTATAAAGTCTGTTCAGTTTAAAAATTAAGATATAAAGCTTTAAGATACAAAAGAATGTTAAATAATAACTGCCACTCTCAACAAAGATGGGCAACCATGCAAATATGTTGACCATGATCATAAAGCCATAACTTTACCCACAAAAGTAAAACAAGCAACATATTAGATTTTCAAAACACAACTATGTGAGACTGTAAAACCAGAGCTACAAAAAACATTACCAAACCGGCCTAAAGAACAATCAATAAGAATTTTTACAAACAAGAAAATATACATCATAGTCAAGAAAACATCATTTAACACAAAACGAAGAGGTTCTACGACAGTTACTAAAATGAGTAACAAACAAAATGGGAAGAAATTAATCAATATAAATGATTCTAGGGTCTAAAATTTTTAATGCGAATCTGGTATGCACAAAAATTAAATACAAGCAATTTATAAAACAAACATGCAAATTCCAGAAAAGCAAGTTGTAATCTCAATGAACATTTACTAAGAATGTTGAAAAATAGAAATTAGTTAAAAAGCAATTACAATAATAAATTTTGGCCATTAATGAAAATTAATCATATGAATTAAAGACCACAAAAAACAAATGTGGTAGAAATTTTGCAAACATGAAATGAATTAGATTGTATAAGATCTAAACATCAATCTCATTTTCAATCAAGATAAAGAAACATAACAGAAGGGGGGAAGAAAAAGAAAAATACATGGAAGATGGGTAAATTTCATACACCTCAAAATTTTTATCCAGCTAATGAATCAATATGCCAAAAAAGAAATGATTTACACATTCAAAGAATCTTTAATGTAAGCCATAGACTTCTTTTATCTACTTTAAAATTGATATTTATAAACCTAATTGCAGCACCAAATAGATAGGGCTGTCGAGATGAAAACTTTGAAGGAGAGCAGTAAAAAAGGGTCAAAACGTTTGACAAGCGTACAAATAGTTCCACGAGAACAAAGCCCTGAAGAATAGCAGTAGGAAGAAGTAGACAAGACGATCAAGAACAATCCATGAATAAAACCAACAAAAAATATTGAAGGAAAAACCTGAAAGGACACGTATAAAAATAATAAAAAAACATACAAGGAAAAGTCTTGTTGGAATCATTCATGTCAATAGCTAATAGCACACTATAGTGCATGGATCCCCCAAAGTCATACCATAGCAGCATTTATTTTAAAAATAGCAAAAACTAGTAAGAAGCCTGAATTATTTATTAATAACTCAACAATTAATGAAGAAAACAAAAAATACATGATGTAAGTATGCCGTAAGATAATTTAACTTCTACATGCATGAAAGTACATGAAAGATACAACAACAACAACAAAGCCTTAATCCCACTACGTGGGGTCGGCTATATGAATCCTTCTTTCCATTGCGTCCTATTTAGTGTCATATTTTCATTTAGTTCCGATAAATTAAGATCATTTTTTATACTAATGCCCCAAGTCTTCCTAGGCCTATCTATACCTTTCTTAACATTAGTCGAATCTAAAACATCTACTCTCCTAATCGGATCATCAGATGGTCGACGCTTACGTGGCCAAACCATCTAAGATGGCTTTCTCTAGTTTTCTCTGTCACAAGAGCTACACCAGCCCTATCACGGTATAGAAACAATTTGATTGGCAAATGAAACGATTAATGAAATGTAAATATTTTCAAGGAAATACAAAAATCCAAAACAAAAGTAATAATTTGTTTACAAATACCTTATTCATATTCAAAGATAAACGATTCATCCTCAAAATCATCACCGTGAACCATAATAGCCTCATCTTTCATAAAATAATGACAAAAATTCTCAAAGGAATATTGAGCTCAAAACATAAGAGTTTGTTTACAAATCCCGTATTCCAATTCCAATGAATCATCTTCCAAATAGTTCTCGTCATATAAACCAAATCTTCCTCATCATTAAAAACACCAACATACAAATATTCATCACCCTCATCATCTTCGATGAGCATAGCCTTTAAACAGAGCAAAATAGTGCAAGTTTATGGACTGTTTGTGCCTTGCAACAATAAAAAAGTATCTTATTCTGCATAATTGACAAGCATGAAGGGAACAAAAAATAAAATAGGAACCTAAATATAAAAAAGTCACCACAACCTCAAATTAGAGAAGCCACAAAATCACAATAGTTTCATATCAACATATGCGATGGAAGATATGGAATTCCACGCTTCCAAAATTGTCAAGTCATTAAGCAAGAATGTTTGCTTACTTGAGCTATTCCCATACTCTCTAGGTTCTTACTAAAGAAGTAAATTTTACCAATACTTCATAAATAGAAATCAAAGCTCTACTTTTGCCATTCCTATTACTTTCCTTTAATAAAATAAAATGGTGTCTATACCAGATTATTTAGTTTACATCTTATTTTCATAATATTTTTTATATCTTATAGTCATGATAATTTTTTATGGTAACCTTTAAAGAAATTCAAACCTCAATTGCCATGGTTTTAAATAAATAACCCATAATGATTTGAAATAAATATGCAAATAAAGTGTAAAATGAAAATTCCTTACAGCCATGAAAATGCTTCCCATTTTTCAAGAAAGCTCGGTGAATCAATACAAACAACTTGAGGATTGAAACAATTTAGACATTTTGAGAACCCAACATGTACAAGTTTAGAATTTGTTATTTTCAGTTTCTTCTTCTTTTATTTCTTTCAAATTCTTATTGAATATATGATTTCATTGCACACTTGCATCAATTTAGTATTAAAGCAAAATTTTTATATTTTTGTCATGTTTGCCTATGTTTCACTTTCTAGTCGTTTTGTTGTTGTTTTGCAAATGTTTTGCTGTTTTGTGTCCTGTTTTCAATGAAATTTTCATTGCTTTTTTTTTTTCTTCTTTTAGTTGTTTTCCTTATTTTCACAATTCTACACTTACTTGTGAGCAGTGCTCATCATGTTATCATTGTTTATAAACTCATTTTTATAAGCTGTAACTTTTCTCGAGTCCCAAATACATCACCTAAATAATAAAGCCTTATACAATCGCATCAAACACCAATACTAGCATATGTCCCACCTCACCCTACACCCAACCGCAGCGAAACAAAAGTAATATTATTTTCCTTTATGACAGCTCTAAATTTCCTCCAACATAGCCATTCTCCCTCACTTGTTTATAAGACAAATTTGAATTCATATTATAAATTTACATTCAAATTTGATTTCAAAGCTAGTTTATATTTTGAAAACTAATCTAAATTTTTTATTCAAATCAACAGTAACCTATACAAAATATGCCAATGTTAACTTGGTACGTGTTGCTAGCTAGCTAAGAGATTTTGACTAGAAATTCAACAAAACAATGATATATAATCTATCATCAACCACCCTATTTGACAATCAGGATCTTTTTTATGCCTTCGCATTTCAGATTTATTAGAAAGTACAAAATTTTAATGAAATTTCTAATCTTCATATGGATTAACATAAGTACAAAATTTTAATGAAATTTCTAATCTTCATATGGATTAACATAAAACAAGATCTTAGGGGGTAATTTACACTTTTGATTGTCATGTTGTTTTTTAAAATAGCTCCTTATGCTTTGTGTAAATGATAATTTAGAATTGGAACAAAATTTCATGCAACCTATATTATTGCTTCTTAGTATTTCTCAATGCTTTGAGGAATCAGCAAAAAGTGAATGAGAATTCAATAATTTATATGCTTTGATAATTCAATAAAAGGGGTATGAAGATTTGATATTTTATTAATTTAATTTTCTTTTTTAGAATTTTTTTCCTTGAACCTACAAATTTGTCCCCTTTGCGTCATATCTCGCAAGTGCAACAGACTCAATAGCAAAGGATGATGGCTTTCCCAAGACAAACAAATATAAGAGACAAATCGCTCTCCTTTAGCATCTAGTCATAGACATCTAGCTATGCATGATAAAAAAACCAAAGTAACAAATATTATCAGACTTCAATAGTGGCAATGAAAACAGCAAAAATAAGTAGAAGCATTGTTGCATAATAACAAAAAAACGGCACAACTTTCCCAAGACAAACAAATGTAATGGTGAGCAAACAAAAATGTGAAACCTCAGTAATTAGGCAAAGATAAAACGGTCTCATCAATTAACCAAGCAATTACAAACATAGCACTACTTCAGAAAAAGAGAATATATACTATGCATGAAATCAGAATTGTAACGGGTTGTTATACAAAGTTAAAATCTTAACGTTATGCACCTTAAGCAAATATTGGAAATATCATTGCGCTAAAATGACTTCCTTCCAATTGCATAACCTCGTTACGATAAACAATATGCATTAAAATTATGCTTGAAAATAGAAATTTAACAATGAAACTCCAAGCCTTGAATCAGATATTGTAAAGCCCTTCTACAACAGGTAGAAGAAATTGCGGATGAAATGATTACTAGCTGCAAATATCTTGAGAAAGGAACAACTTTGAGTGATAATATCAGCATAAATCAAAGCACAAAAAAAAAGCATGCTCAACAAAAGTACGACTTAAACTAGATAACATTTTGTTTCAAGGAACCAGCAATAGATATCGAGCGAGGTAGAACAGAGCTATCTTTCTTAATCTACAAAATCATCGTAAACACAGCACATGCATGAAATGAAAGAAAAAGAAGTAGCAAGAAAGCATCAAAGCAGCAGCTAATACTCAAAACAAAAATAAAGAAAGAGAGACCCGCAACTTTGTTTCAAATTTCAATATTATTTTATTTATTGTTTAATCATTTTGTCATCGAGTAACAGCTTTCGAGTCCTTATCTACACCAAGGCCATACAACACACCAGCATATTTCTCAGTCAATCCGCTGAAGTAGATCTCCCTGAGCTTCCAGAAGGCGCGAGAGGTGAGGAGGCTGTCAGATCCAGCTTGATGGGAGACCCCAACCCTCCGCAAACCAAGCAGCTGGGCAAGCGTGTTGAGCCCACCATGAAGACCGTTGCAAAACTTCATGAGATGCTTGACGTCATATAGAGTCGGGAAGAAGATATTTATGAGTTCGAAAAACCCTGCCTGGGTGTCAGGGAGTTTTTTGCAAGTGAGCAGCTTTAGGAGGTAGCCAAAGTCATGGCCGCAGTGGAAGGCTATCCAGTGCACGTCCTCATTCAGAACGACGCCAGAGGACATGAAAAGCTCACCAAATCGAAGGGTATCAATACCCAGCTCCTTATTCTTCTTGAAGTCGATTCCCGATCGGCGTAGGAGCTCAATAGAGTCGGCGGCGTAAATGTCGCACTGGACGTCGAACTCGCGGAAATTGAACTGCCAGATGCAGCCAAATCCCGTGTTGCAGGTGGGGAGATTGCCGCGCTCGTCAGAGAAAGTAAGCCCGAGCTGGATCAGCTTCAACATATTGACATTATCCCTGAGCACCGCGTAGTTGCAGTCGGAGAGCGACTTGAAAGGTCCCAACGGCCGGCACACAATCCCCGGAAACTCCGTATCCATTGCAACAAAAGGGAAGTCGTCCACAATCTCCCGGATAATAGCAAACTCTTGCATCAGATTGTCATCCCACACCTCTCGAATTTGAACGTTATCATTCTTAGGGGCCGCTGACATCTCTGAGACATGCGAGCTGCAAACATTGAACCAAGAAAACCCTCAATTACCATTTCTAGACCATCAAATGAACCGCCCCACGAAGAACAAATCCCCCAATCATACAAATTCGAAATCGCCCTAACGATGGAGTGGAAGAACACGGAAAAAAAAAACATATCTGACCTGGGGAGGATGAGATCGAAATGCGGGGACGACAGGCCGAATAGGTTTCCGAAAAAGGCAAAGGATTTTTATGGCTTCCAGGAGAAAAATGGCAACAGCGAACATGTATATAAAGAAGCTTTGTAGGGTTTGAAAATTTCTGGGGGCGAAAGAGGCGGTGACTCAACAGTGGTTTGGCCCGGCGCCAGATCCGCATTTGGAGAGTTAATAAAAATAAATAAAATAAATTAAAATAATAATGATGGGGAATTTTACTTTTTTTATAAATAATAATTTTACAATTTCAAGGCTTTTTCTAAGGGGGGAAGGCGGTGGGGGAGTCCAACGTGACGTGCGCCACCAAGAACTGGCTGAATTGTTCTATAATTTAGGTAAAATAGTTAAAAATTATGAAGGAGTGAATTATACTTTATAAACCTAGGGATAATTATGTAGAGGTCATCCCAAACAATGATATTTACAAATAAATCATCAAGGTGATTTTTTTGCTTCATCAGGTATGATTGTTGCATTTGTTGCCATTTTGGTTGTTGTTAGGTTGTTGTTATGTCGCTAGAACAATTGCTATGGTGGATACTTTGTATTTGTTGGTTGTATTGTGTTAATAGACTGATGTTGTCTCCATCACAATCTTTATGTAATTCTTGATATTTGTGATTTTTGATGTGATATGGATTCAGATGACTTTTGTTTATTAGATTGATCCCTAATAGGATCATGATGTAATTTCAAAATTTTTCATGTTATTTTGTTATGAGATTTTTCTCTGTTTTAGCTTAGGTTTTGAATATGGCTCCTTGGAAAGGCACATTGATAGTTTATCCTTAGTTTTTGAAAATTTGAATATTCTGGACTCTGTGTTTGCATGTTTATGGATCTCTTAGAAAAGCTGAGGAAAACTCACATTTCTTCAAACTTTGGGGATTCAATCAAAAAGTTTCGCAGCTTATTTAAATTTTTTTTTCACTGTATTATCAATATCCTTTCAATTGTAGCTAGACAAAATTCTTAAATTATATTCTATTTATTGTGACAGTTTTTTAACTTTATTTTAGCACTTTCAACTCTATTTACCTATTGCTGTTTTTTTTTTCTTTTGAAACTTTTATCCTTTGTTTTTTTTTTGAGAAAATCATTGTATATTGAATCCTATTTTCAAAAGTTCTCTGTCTTTTATAGAATTTTCGTGTAATACTTTAACTGAGTAATGATATTAGCTAGTTATGATCCTCAACTTCCCAAACAACAACAACAATAAGCATTTATCACACTAAGTGGGGCAGGCTGCATAAATCCTTTTTCACCAGTCTTTTAGGACTTCTACTGCCTTTTTTAAGATCAAAATATAGTTATTTTAAAAGTATAGAGATATAAACACTTATTTAATTGCCTATGGATAAATTTTCCAAGGGATTTGTGCTGCTTCTTTTGGGTAAAATTTTAGCTCTATTTTATCACAGTCAACCCTATTTGATTAATGTTAATTTATTTTGGTTTTTCTTTCGAATTATTATTGTACAACAAAAAGGCCTTGGTGTAGATCTCACAGGGATCCAACGGTCCAGCAGAAGGAAGTATGATGAGGGAAGATCCCTTGTAAGGGGATCACGAGTCCGATCTAGCCGGTTGAGCTAAGCCAATCGAGTAAAAAAATTGATGTGAGGATGGTTGACTGGTACCAACCAAACAACCACCCGAAAGCTCACCGAGAGAGAGTTTGAATCTCCAACAAAGAAAAAGCTGACTAGATGCAGAAGTTTATCCCGTAAGAGAGCTAACTAGATGGAAGGGTTGGTTCCACAAAAGCATATTCGACCACCTAGTAGAAGTTTGAAGACTTCTCATTAGAAATATAATCCTAGAGTTAATCGAGCTAAGTCGATCAGGCTCTAAAGTTGTCCAAGCTCAACCGACTGAGCAAAAAAAATGACTAGATGATGAGTATTCATTTATAAACATCTAAAGTATCCAGTATAAGCACCATCCATATGAGGGTAAAAATGTTATAGCATTATTGTGCTAAATCCTCTATGAATAAAGAAAGCATTTAATGAAGAGGGTTGCATGGTTTTTACTATTTATTTTAAAAGTTGTACCTCTAGTATAGAACATATTTCTCTCTCCATCTACATTTCTACTCACTTCTCACGCTTTATTCCTTGGGTGTGATTTGCAAATAAAAATGGATTCAACATCATAAATAGTACGGTGAGTATGGATCATACCATAGATAAGAAGATAAGCAAACCAAGAAGAAGGATCTCACAAAAAAGAAGTTCAACAACAATATGGAGTGCACTTCAAAATTTGTAGCGGAGCAGAGCCAAGATTTAAAGGATCAAATGATGAAAAATGATCAGAGGCACGTTGACTCGGGAGAGGGATCCATCACCTTGACATGACGTGTTGGCACCAAATGACAGAAAATTTCCCCTGGGCTTTGAGAGAAAGGATGACACCCAATACCTTGGCAATGTTGGATCATCACTAGTCAATCACAACTGATTCTAGCACATAGAAGTGTCACATTAGGCAAAAAAAATTGCATTCTTCCGATAAATCCCTAACTTTGAACCCAAAAAATGATTCAAAATTCTGACACTTGAAACTTACAAAGGGCAGACTGACATGATCAACCACAATACTTCTTCTGAGTCAACTGAATGCCTTCTCTAGATCAATCAAATGCTAAAGTGCCAACACTTTTTACCGCGCTGAGGGACTCAACCCTCACTTGGTTCCATATATTACAACCTAAAATAATCACACCATTTGCAAATTTTAAATGGTTCGTTGTGCATTTCACAAGCTTGCCAAATTCTCATAAAAGTTGGCATCCTCTCTTATAGCTTTGCAAAGGGTAGAACAAAACCCTGCATGCCTTCATCACTCACTTCCAAAAGTAATTGTTAGAAGTTTGGGGCCTAAAGTCTACAATAGCCCACACAACCCTCACCCACATACTGAAAGAAGAACCTTTTCACTATGCACAAGGATTACAGCGCATGAAGTCACCAGCCGAGCTATTGGAACTAACCAATAACCATATATCAACAAAATAATAAAACTCCCTTCTCACTTCATTCAGAACTGAATAAACCAACCGTCACCCATCGAAGAGAACCACATATGGAGAAGGGTAGACACTGATACAAAATCCTCGCCTTCCTAACCAATCCCACTTTGAAGACTCACGATCACTCCCAAATGACTGAGTGGATTACAGCTTTTGAAGCCACTAGCCAAGATATTCTAACTAATAACACATATTGATATAAAAATATAACTCCACCCCCCCCCCCCCCCCCCAAAACTAGCTATCACCTTCAAATGAGAAACAACCACAAAAAAGGATGAAAAACAAGACACAATCCTCACATTCTTACCTAATCCCACTTTGAAGACTCACGATCACACAATAGATGATTGGGTAGCCGACCAAGCTCATTATCGAGAAGGTCAAACTCAGTACCCTAAATGACGAATGGCTCGATATGTGGAGCGAGCGTCGTCTGCTTACGAGATCCCTAAGTAGAATCTTTTAAGAGTATCAATGGATCAAATAGTGGAGGTCATTTAAAATAAGGAATACTTCAATAAGGTGACTTAAATGAAAGTCGAAACATATCTTTTGGACCCTAAGATGTAATGAGTGTATCATCATGACCACAGTCACGACACCAAAGCGTGCCAACATCTCTAAAGTATAATCAAAGATTTGATTAGTTGGGAAACTGAAGGAGTTTATAGCCTATAGGGCAACCACCCGAAGACAATGAAAAATAATTATAAGATATTAAATTTAAGTTAGTGTGAGCCCACGTGATTCATACTTGACATAGTTCCTGCCATCTTCGAAGGGGATGGCGGAGAGAAGCCGTTGAGCTAGCTTAAATAGGTCTTAGATGGGTGAATAATATGTAGTTGCTCTGGCAGCTTGACACAACCAGTACCCCCATCATTTTTTTTGATAAGATGAGTTTGAGCCCAAAAATTCGCTTTTATCAATGAGGACTTACCCCTCAAAGGCAATCCATACAATAACACTATCATTATCACCATCTTGATTGCCAATTTTAGGCTGACATCATACTCATCGATATTGGGAGCTCGATGAACATCATCTTCATTTAATTTTTTTTGATAAGATGAGTTTGAGCCCAAAAATTCGCTTTTATCAATGAGGACTTACCCCTCAAAGGCAGTCCATGCAATAACACTATCATTATCACCATCTTGATTGTCAATTTTAGGTTGACATCATACTCATCGATATTGGGAGCTCGGTGAACATCATCTTCATTTTTTTTTTTTTTTTGATAAGATGAGTTTGAGCCCCTCCTATCTTTTGGTCGTGCCTAGGTTACTCTATGGGTTCTATCAAGAAAGAAAAGAAGCACTATAAACCCTCACCTTGTCGGTCACTTTAGGATAAAATGAGAACTAATTCACCGATAAGACAAATTTCTTGGTACTCGACTAGCCTCGTGCATGCAACATCTTCTTACTCATCCTTATCTCAACTCCTTTTGATTCATCATATTGTCGGCACTATTTTTGGTGTGGGGTTTGCCCGTAAGAAGCTGTCGGCTATCGGAATTGAAATCCTGTTGCCCGCTTCGGAAGGATGTTTTTTAAAAAAATTTAGTTTTGAAAAAGATGAAGTCAAACTGACCCCATAATTTTCATAGTTTAGATGAAAGAGCGCTTTATCTCAAATCA